TTATTTCCCTTACGATAAATTACTATTCATTGAAATTAAGCAAGAATAATGCTAATTTAATGCCATAATAATACTAAAATTATGCTAGAATACTACTAGTATAATGCTAGAATAATTCTACAATAATGCTGGTACGGCATAAAGAAAGATCCAACATGAAATGTAGGGTATTACATTATGAAAGTAATGCTGCATCTAACTTCTCGATGATGTCATTGACATCCGTGGATAAATTTCCCTTTAGTAAATGAGCTTTGAAATGTTCAACATAGGGAATCAACATAATTTTTCTGTGCGTGTCTGTGTGTGTGTGAGGAAAAGGTGGGGGGGATGGGGGGGGCATTAGAAATGAATTAAATTAAATCCCATTGACAAAAAAGACAGCCGCAATTAACGTCGGAAATCTCAATCATTTAGAATTGAATAGCAGTCAGCAGTAGTTTTGGTATGTTACGAACAAGTTCGTATGTTCGAAATCTTATTTTAGAGGCTAACCGTCAAATGCTGGCAAGTTTTATGATAAAATCTGGTATCATAATTTCATCACTGAGAAGGAGTTATCACGAGTGTGTGGCAATTTCTCATGTGTACAATTGCTTATGTGTACAATGTCTCATGTGTACAATTGCTTATGTGTACAATGTCTCATGTGTACAATTGCTTATGTGTACAATTTCTCATGTGTACAATTGCTTATGTGTACAATGTCTCATGTGTACAATTGCTTATCTGTACAATGTCTCATGTGTACAATTGCTTATGTGTAAAATGTCTCATGTGTACAATTGCTTATGTGTGCAATGCCTCATGTGTACAATTGCTTATGTGTACAATGTCTCATGTGTACAATTGCTTATGTGTACAATGTCTCATGTAGTACAACAGGACGCATTGTGTCACGGATAAAGAAATCTGACCACATCACCCCAGCTCTTAGGGATCTCCATTGGCCTCCTGTGAGTGAGCGCATTGACCACAAAATTTCGTCCCTGGCGTACAGCTGTATAGAAGGCTCTGTCCCTGGTGTACAGCTGTATGGAAGGCTCTGTCCCTGGCGTGCAGCTGTATAGAAGGCTCTGTGCCTGGTGTACAGCTGTATGGAAGTCTCTGTCCCTGGTGTACAGCTGTATGGAAGTCTCTGTCCCTGGCGTACAGATGTATGGAAGGCTCTGTCCCTGGTGTACAGCTGTATGGAAGGCTCTGTCCCTGGCGTGCAGCTGTATGGAAGTCTCTGTCCCTGGTGTACAGCTGTATGGAAGTCTCTGTCCCTGGTGTACAGCTGTATGGAAGGCTCTGTCCCTGGTGTACAGCTGTATGGAAGGCTCTGTCCCTGGTGTACAGCTGTATGGAAGGCTCTGTCCCTGGTGTACAGCTGTATGGAAGGCTCTGTCCCTGGTGTACAGCTGTATGGAAGGCTCTGTCCCTGGTGTACAGCTGTATGGAAGGCTCTGTCCCTGGTGTACAGCTGTATGGAAGGCTCTGTCCCTGGTGTACAGCTGTATGGAAGGCTCTGTCCCTGGTGTACAGCTGTATGGAAGGCTCTGTCCCTGGTGTACAGCTGTATGGAAGGCTCTGTCCCTGGTGTACAGCTGTATGGAAGGCTCTGTCCCTGGTGTACAGCTGTATGGAAGGCTCTGTCCCTGGTGTACAGCTGTATGGAAGGCTCTGTCCCTGGTGTACAGCTGTATGGAAGGCTCTGTCCCTGGTGTACAGCTGTATGGAAGGCTCTGTCCCTGGTGTACAGCTGTATGGAAGGCTCTGTCCCTGGTGTACAGCTGTATGGAAGGCTCTGTCCCTGGTGTACAGCTGTATGGAAGGCTCTGTCCCTGGTGTACAGCTGTATGGAAGGCTCTGTCCCTGGTGTACAGCTGTATGGAAGGCTCTGTCCCTGGTGTACAGCTGTATGGAAGGCTCTGTCCCTGGTGTACAGCTGTATGGAAGGCTCTGTCCCTGGTGTACAGCTGTATGGAAGGCTCTGTCCCTGGTGTACAGCTGTATGGAAGGCTCTGTCCCTGGTGTACAGCTGTATGGAAGGCTCTGTCCCTGGTGTACAGCTGTATGGAAGGCTCTGTCCCTGGTGTACAGCTGTATGGAAGGCTCTGTCCCTGGTGTACAGCTGTATGGAAGTCTCTGTCCCTGGTGTACAGCTGTATGGAAGGCTCTGTCCCTGGTGTACAGCTGTATGGAAGGCTCTGTCCCTGGTGTACAGCTGTATGGAAGGCTCTGTCCCTGGTGTACAGCTATATGGAAGGCTCTGTCCCTGGTGTACAGCTGTATGGAAGGCTCTGTCCCTGGCGTGCAGCTGTATGGAAGTCTCTGTCCCTGGCGTACAGCTGTATGGAAGTCTCTGTCCCTGGTGTACAGCTGTATGGAAGGCTCTGTCCCTGGTGTACAGCTGTATGGAAGGCTCTGTCCCTGGCGTGCAGCTGTATAGAAGGCTCTGTCCCTGGTGTACAGCTGTATGGAAGGCTCTGTCCCTGGTGTACAGCTGTATGGAAGTCTCTGTCCCTGGTGTACAGCTGTATGGAAGGCTCTGTCCCTGGTGTACAGCTGTATGGAAGTCTCTGTCCCTGGTGTACAGCTGTATGGAAGTCTCTGTCCGTGGTGTACAGCTGTATGGAAGTCTCTGTCCCTGGTGTACAGCTGTATGGAAGTCTCTGCACCGGAATATCTTAAAGAACTGATTTCCAACCATGTATCCTTAAAGAACATGCGGTCTTCAACACAGTCCTTACTGAGAGTTCCCAGTGTGGATTGACACAGAAACAATTCATATAGTGCGCTCTTTTGAAGCGATAGCACCAAAATTATGGAACAGCTTTCCCAAGTCTTTGAATGCAATTGAAAATGATAAAAAAATCATTTAAGAAACATTTAAAGACTTTTTTTGATTTAAATAGATTTAAGAACACCGGAGCGCTGTGAGCATGCTAAAGTAGCATTGATGCAAGCGCTATATAAATTCAATTCAATACAATGTCTCGTTTGTACAATGTCTTGTATGTACAATGTCTCGTATGTTCAATGTCTCATGCGTAAAATGGCTTATGTGTATGATGTCTCATGTCTGCCAGTTCGTTAGTTTTTTTTTAAATAAAGAGACACATTTCTTTAATAACTAACAAAAAAGACAATTAAAATCGTAAAATGTATATGGAAAAATATATTCTGAATGGACAAACTATTAAAATAAGTCAACATACACTCAATAAAATCTAAATCGTCAAGCCATTAAAATAAGTCATTTTAAAGTCAACACAATCAAATAATACTCGAAACTGGTGAGACATCTGTAACACATTTTTCAACAAATTTATGGAAAGTAAAAAACAAAAACAAAAAAACAGACAGACAAGACAGAAGGGGAGAGTATCGGAATTAAATGGGAGACCATTTTAGAAAACTATCAGGACCTGTAATGGGACGCTGTTCTGGTTTGGAACTTCAGCCAAATAAGATCAGATAAGTTATTATTATTATTGTTATTACAGATGTCTTATATAGCGCGGTACCATAGCCTGGGGCAAAAACATTGTAAAAATAAACATGACATTAAAAAAAAACAGCTACATAAAATTATTTACTTAAAAACAGCTTTTTAAAAATCTTCATCAGACCCACCCAAGAACTATTTCCATGTCAAGCCATGGACGGCACCCAGCAGCATCGTTTGTCGGTCAGGGGGGGGGGTGAGAATGAGTCGGGACAGCAGAGATTGAAGAGATGTGGTCTTGGACACTTCAGGGATGTCACATTCTAGTCACTACCGTACTGATGTCACATTATTTTCGCTACCGCACTGATGTCACATTCTAATCACTACCGTACTGATGTCACATTCTATTCACTACCGTACTGATGTCACATTCTATTTACTACCGTTTTGATGTCACATTCTAGTCACTACAGTACTGATGTCACATTATATTCACTACCGTACTGATGTCACATTCTTTTCGCTACCGTACTGATGTCACATTCTAATCACTACCGTACTGATGTCACATTCTATTCACTACCGTACTGATGTCACATTCTTTTCACTACCGTACTGATGTCACATTCTTTTCACTACCGTACTGATATCACATTCTATTCACTACCGTACTGATGTCACATTCTTTTCACTACCGTACTGATACCACATTCTGTTCACTACCGTACTGATACCACATTCTTTTCGCTACAGTACTGAAGTCTTACGTATGGTTCTGTCATAGTCTACTTGTATAACAATCAATCAGACAATAATCATATGTAATTTTAATTAAAATCTTCTTGCAGGTGTAAATTTAGATATCTTGATTACACTTTATGTACATATAATACAAATATTAATACAAATATATTACATCCACACATAACATAATTTTTAATTAAAAGATAAATTCTGTCTGCCTATTGAGAGACTGGGGCCTCAAGTAAAAATAAAAACAAACTACACAAGGTAGCAGTGTGAGAAGTAGACAAGGTAGCAGTGTATGAAGTACACAATGTAGCAGTGTATGAAGTACTCAATATAGTAATGTATGAAGTACACAATGTAGTAATGTATGAAGTACACAATTTAGCAGTGTATGAAGTACAAAGTTAGCAGTGTATGAATTTCACAATGTAGCAGTGTATGAAGTACACAATGTAGTAATGTATGAAGTACAGAATGTAGTAATGTATGAAGTACACAATTTAGCAGTGTATGAAGTACAAAGTTAGCAGTGTATGAATTTCACAATGTAGCAGTGTATGAAGTACCAGTGTTGCATTGTATAAAGTAGGCAAGGTACCTGTGTATAAAGTACAAAAGGTAGCACTGTATTAAGTACACCAGGTAGCAGTGTATGAAGTACCCAAGGTAGCAGTTTATGAAGCACACAACGTAGCAACGTATGAATTACACAGACAACACAGTTTAGCAGTGTGTGAAGTACACAACGTAGCTATATAGATGTAACGTTTCTTCATTAAACATTTTCTACAGAAGCCAAAGTGTTGGCCCTATCGTCCGTTGTCAACTGGTCTCCTTCCTCAATCTGTGACTCTTCATTGGGATCCTCTTCGATCACTCTGATCTGTAGAGACAGGTTTCATGAGTTCATTGATAATAGGTTAAGTTTTTTTTTTGTTTTGTGTGTGTGTGGGGGTGGGGTTAACACCATATACCCTATTCCCCTCATTCCCCACATTTCCCACATTCCTCAAATTCCCCACGTTCCCTGACATAAACTAGCTCATGTTAATCATCTGACATCTCAAAAGACAGTTCCCGGCACTCAATGGACAGTTCCTGACACTCAAATGATGGTTCCTGGAAATCAACTGACAGTTCCTGGAAATAACTTGACAGTTCCTAGAACTCAACTGACAGGTCCTGGAACTCAAATGACAGTTCCTGGAACTCAAATGACAGGTCCTGGAACTCAAATAACAGTTCCTGGAAATCAAATGTCAGTTCTTGGAAATATTTGGAGTCCGATCAATCTAAAACAGATTACGCAAAATTACGGATTTTGAAAATCCAGTTTTTTAACCGGTTATTAACTTTTACAATGCGCTCCACTCAGCACAGCAAGGTCAGATCTAAATGACAGCAAGGTCAGATCTAAATGACAGCAAGGTCAGATCTAAATGACAGCAAGGTCAGATAGAAATGACAGCTAGCTCAGATATAACTGACAGCAATGTCAGATGTAAATGACGCCAAAGTCAGATCTGAATGACAGCAAGGTCAGATATAAATGACATCAAGATCAGATATAAATGACAGCAAGGTCAGATCTAAATGATAGCAAGGTCAGATATAAATGACAGCTAGGTCAGATGTAAATGACAGCAAGGTCAGATGTGAATCACTAGAAGGTCAGATGACATGACTGTAAGACCATTTAGGATACACATTACAAATAGTAAGTCTTATAATACATCTGCTATGCGACCCTTACCTCTAATTCCCTTTTATTCCTCTCATTCTCCTTTTTTCCCCTCATTCCCTCTCAATGCTTTTCATTCCCCATCAATCTCCTTATTCACTTTCATTAAGCCATTTCCTTAATTTCCTCTCATTCCCCCACCATCCCTCTCATCCTCCTTATTTCTCGCATTCCCCTAACACCCCACTCATTCCCCGTCATTCCCTCTCATACCTCCATATCCCAGTTCTCTTCAACTCAGTATCTGGATGAGGTCTGCACAAGTGTCCTCTATTTCAATAATGCAAGAGAATATATCAAAAGTTAAAACCCAACCCGAACTACCAACTCTAACTACCAACCCGAACTACCAACCCGAACCACCAACCCGAACTACCAACTCTAACTGCCAACCCTTAATTCCAGCCAGCCTCCCTACCTGATTTCCCACCTGACTGCCTAACTGACTGCAAACCTGACTGCCAAACTGACTTCCAACCTCGCTACCAACCTTACTACCAAACTTACCAACAACCTGACTGCAAACCTGACTGCCAAACTGACTTCCAACCTCGCTACCAACCTTACTACCAAACTTACCAACAACCTGACTGCAAACCTGACTGCCAAACTGACTTCCAACCTCGCTACCAACCTTACTACCAAACTTACCAACAACCTGACTGCAAACCTGACTGCCAAACTGACTTCCAACCTCGCTACCAACCTTACTACCAAACTTACCAACAACCTGACTGCAAACCTGACTGCCAAACTGACTTCCAACCTCGCTACCAACCTTACTACCAAACTTACCAACAACCTGACTGCAAACCTGACTGCCAAACTGACTTCCAACCTCGCTACCAACCTTACTACCAAACTTACCAACAACCTGACTGCAAACCTGACTGCCAAACTGACTTCCAACCTCGCTACCAACCTTACTACCAAACTTACCAACAACCTGACTGCAAACCTGACTGCCAAACTGACTTCCAACCTCGCTACCAACCTTACTACCAAACTTACCAACAACCTGACTGCAAACCTGACTGCCAAACTGACTTCCAACCTCGCTACCAACCTTACTACCAAACTTACCAACAACCTGACTGCCAACCTGACTGCCAAACTGACTTCCAACCTCGCTACCAACCTTACTACCAAACTTACCAACAACCTGACTGCCAACCTGACTGCCAAACTGACTTCCAACCTCGCTACCAACCTTACTACCAAACTTACCAACAACCTGACTGCCAACCTGACTGCCAAACTGACTGCCAACCTGACTGCCACACTGACTGCCAACCTGACGTCCACACTGACTGCCAACCTGAATGCCACACTGACTGCCAACCTGACTGCCAACCTGACTGCCAACCTGACTGCCAACCTGACTGCCAACCTGACTGCCAACCTGACTGCCAACCTGACTACGAACCTGACTGCCAACCTGACTGCCAACCTGACTGATATATTGAATCCCAACCGTGACATAAACTCCCCACAGAGGTAACTCACCTTGACCTTGTTGGCCTTGTGTTTGTTGTCATCATAGTCACTGGACAGCAGGCAAGCCTTGGCCTTGGTTAGACTGGCGTTCATTGCAAACAGGTGCTCGTACAGAACTCCTGCAACCACACCACCCACCGTTGGACCAACCCAGTAAACCTGTTGGACATACACAACGTTAAAGTTGGCATTGATTTAGCCCAAAGTGTTAATGACGTGGGTTCATGGCAAGCTAAAGAATCGTGACAGAAAGTAAGTAGGTGGGAAATGTTCCTAAACTGCTCCAACAATGACATACATTATTTATCTAACCTCTCGGATACTACTTTTCAGCTAAGTGCTATTAAGTATCTTATCTTATCTGATTGATTGATTTCTGTTGTTTGTTCGCCGACGAAGGCTTCCTGCCAACACGTTTGTTCTTTTGATGGCTTACATTTTTTTTTAGCTTTTCACATACTTTGCTTTACTCATTTCCCTTTTCGCCAACCTGATTGATATCTCTTTTTTTATTACCATACTTGTGTATTATGTTAAAGCATTATTAAAGCTTAACTTCTAGTGTTATAGTGACACAAATTGTTCGTGTCTAATTAATCTAACATATTACCATGACCAGTGCTGGTCCGATACTTGTGTCTTACTTACCCAGTGGTTGTCCCATGTCCCAATGACCAGTGCTGGTCCGATACTTGTGTCTTACTTACCCAGTGGTTGTCCCATGTCCCCATGACCCATATTGGTCCGATACTTGTGTCTTACTTAACCAGTGGTTGTCCCATGTCCCCATGACCAGTGCTGGTCCGATACTTTTGTCTTACTTACCCAGTGGTTGTCCCATGTCCCCATGACCAGTACTGGTCCGATACTTGTGTCTTACTTACCCAGTGGTTGTCCCATGACCAGTACTGGTCCGATACTTGTGTCTTACTTGTGTCTTACTTACCCAGTGGTTGTCCCATGTCCCCATGACCAGTGCTGGTCCGATACTTGTGTCTTACTTACCCAGTGGTTGTCCCATGTCCCCATGACCAGTACTGGTCCGATATGTGTGTCTTACTTACCCAGTGGTTGTCCCACGTCCCCATGACCAGTACTGGTCCGATACTTGTTTCTTACTTACCCAGTGGTTGTCCCATGTCCCAATGACCAGTGCTGGTCCGATACTTGTGTCTTACTTACCCAGTGGTTGTCCCACGTCCCCATGACCAGTGCGGGGCCGAAACTCCGGGCCGTGTTCATGCTTGCTCCTGTGTAATCGATCTGGTGATGGATTGGGATTTTGTTAATGATTGAAGCTCAGCTAGTTTCAGATCTATTTCTATGATATAATTATACACAGAAATAAGCATTGTTCTATTTTTATTTATATTTTTAAAAATGAACAATAGAACTATAATCAAACGTGATCATTCTTGTATCCATTATTTTTAAATTAGCTCGTTTAAGATGATGAAAATGTATATTTTAGAATTATTTCTTTCGCTAAATAATTGTATTGAAACCAACCAAGGAAGGCTTACGTACCGCCCACAGGTGACACATGGTGACCGATAGACCAATGGTGAGCGGTGCTGAGCCATTCAAATCTTTCCTCTTCCCGTCACATGACGCAAACACGGTCAAAACTAGGAGGAATGTGATGAATAGTTCCACACCAACGGCTGGTAGGGTGAATCAGAACAGACAATATTTTAATGTTTAATAACCTAAATAACATGTTATGAGAAGCAATTAGCAATTATACGTACATCCTATTATTGCGTTAAGCAGTGTTTGGTAAGTTAGCAAAGATCCGACAAAAGTGCATTGAGGTTTATTATAAATAAATATAAACTACCTTTACTAATTACAAATAAACTCCAACTTTATTACACATAAATGTGTTCTATATAAATATAACACAATTTATTTTATATAAATATCCCCAGCCTTTAGTATTTATAATAAATTTAACCTATTACATTCTTTTAAAATATAACTTATTTTATTGTATAAATATAATCCTAATAAGTATTAATAACATTACCAACCCAGCTCTATATAAACACATCAGAACCTGATCGATATAAACACAACAGAACCTGATCAAAAGAAACACAACAGAACCTGATCTATAGAAACACAACCAACCCTGCTCTATACAAAGACAGCGAACCTTGCTCAAGTGAGATCTTTTCGCTGACCAGGGTCATGCCTAGATTCCCCTGATAAGACTCCGGTGTGAGTCCCATGAGGATGGCTGCTCCCAACATGGCGCCGGTGAGCTGAGGGGAACAAAGCAGACGTCATTTGTCGAACACTAATATCACTGGCATTCGTTATTGTTGTTCGAACTAGTGGCGAATTTTAATGAATTTTAAACCACGAAAGAAATATTTAGTAAAGCAGCTTCTTAAGGAAAGGCGAGAAACAAATGTTAGCCATCAGATTTGCGGCCGTCAGGGAAATTTAAAAACGAAAGAAAACAGGACATCTCAGCGTTGTGATTTCTTCTTGATTGGTTTAAAATCGTTTGATCATAACGTGAGTGAATTCAACACTCATGAGAATGTCATACAATAAAATATCAATAATAAATTTAGGTAATCTACCACTTGAGCGTCGGCCAAGAAAAAATCCAGCTGTTCCGGTTTGAAGGGCTATTTAAACAATTATTCTTATCTTGTTTTTACGACATTGTACATATTCATAACGAACTCAACCGGTGGGCAATTCACAAGTTATGTTTCGATATCTTTACTGTACCCATAGCCTCATAGGTCTTAAATCTGTGACTATGCAGCATCTTACCAAACAAAAATGTAGAATTTCAGCACATAATAATATTTAAAAATCATATTTGCGGTGCATTTATTATAATCTTTGTCCGTTGGGGAACAAAACCCAGGGAGTGACATAAAAATAGTAAAATTTAAATACTAATACTAAACGGATTTATTACAATTGAATAATAATAAAGAGTAATTACTTTCATAGACATAAAATCACAACGGCTGCTTTTAAAATGATATTTTCAAGAACTCCATTCTCGCCTTGGGGGAGAACTTTGCACAATGTCATTTTTACACATTACATTGTTTGTTTTCTTCTATTTTAATTTTTTTTTGAATTAAATTGTTTTACATTTTCTATTTTTTTAAAAATTGTCTTGTGTTATTTGTTCTACTGTATATGTCAATATGTGCTGGAATGAATATGTACAATGTCGTAAAAACAAGATAAGAATAATTGTTTAAATAGCCCTTCAAACCGGAACAGCTGGATTTTTTCTTGGCCGACGCTCAAGTGGTAGATTACCTAAATAAAGCTCATGGCGTATGTTCATAAGGACTAGATCGGAATAATACATTGCTTAAATAGATCTTAAATTTATTTTAACATTGTGTGCAATAATATATTTGTATTAATAGGAAAGAAGTGATATAAAAAGAATGTTGGGATTTTTAAAATCAAGTCTATTTGTATTATGTAACATGTTGTTGTTGTTTTGTTATTTTTTTGACTTACTTGACACAAAATATAAAAAATTGCCTTGGCCAAGCTGATTTTCCTGGTGACCAACATGGCCAGTGTCACAGCGGGGTTGATGTGACCTCCTGAGACATGAGCGATCGCCCAGACAATGGTCGCCACACTGAGACCAAAACAGAGCGCCACCTGCAGGGAGTGGGAAGACCTGGGCTCATTGTCTCTGAGACTGACGCACGATCCGCAGCCAATCAGAGTGAGAAGCAAGGTGCCAACTAACTCGGCCACGATACACTTCCAGAAGTGAAGACTTGTGATGTCCTCCATGCTTGTTGCCAACTTCTCTGTGACACGACCGCCCGCAGTCTGCGACGAAGAGCTGGTCATCTTGGGCTCTTCTAGGTTTATCGTGACCTGCTTACCTTGCTCGTAGTCTTCGCCATAATCGGAAGGTCTGCAAAATTTGCTAGTGGACGACAGCTTCTTCTTGCTGCATCTGTCCACGTACTGTCGGTAGGATGTGAACTCTGTGGCCGGGTAAGAAGGTGGCAGTGACGCTTCTGAAGTGATTGAAGTGTCTGATGCTAACGAAAACTTTCTCAGGGCTACTGCCATGATGGTACTGTAATGGGGAAGGTATGGAATAATGACCTGGCGAATGGTGTTAGCCGAGCTACGGCAGTATCAGAAACAAACATAAACGAACTAAACATTTGAAAATGTCATCAAAATCAACATTAATATATATACATATATGTGTGTGTGTATAAATGTATATCACATGACTCTAAATAATTATCTGAGCGAGTTAGAGAGAGAGAGATCTTTGACACAAAACAAGATGGAATCCTCTCAGAGTTGATAACAAATAATAGTCATATCAGGAGTTGCTTCTCCTGCGCCCCGGTTGCCTAGTCTTTACAGAACAGTTCAATTATATGTATTTTTATTGGTCAATTCTCATTGTAATGACCATAAAGGAAACTTACTTAATTTTACAAATATATATATATAATGAAAATTTTAAGTATAATTTGTTTCCCTAGCAAACAAATGATACTTGTATGAGTGTGATAAATCAAATTTGATTGCAAATTGCATTTTGAACTGGGAAAAAAACCGAAGAAAAGAGAGCCACGCACCTCTAACACAGGTTTAGAACAGAAAAAAATCAAGTTTGATTAAAATCACAGATTATCAAAAATTGACCGAACTATTTTATTCTGTTTAACGTTTCAGTGTGTTCACCTCGTCTTTTGATTCCAGTTTCAAAAAGCAAACCACGTCCTCAGCTGGAGATACCACTTTGCCGTTTGATTTGGATGTTGAATGCTCCGGGAGTTTATTAGGGCCGGTTTTTATTGGCTGGCGGTGAGGCCAAAGAGAACATGCCCAAATTGCCGATGGATCTGAATGATTGGCTGACGATATTGTCGGGAAATTTGAGGTGAGGCCTGGGTGGTGGTGGTGGTGGCGGGGGTGGGGGTCGGAGTCACTCTTCTGGGCTACATGCTTCGGGTGTCATTACATGGAATTTTTCCAGCCGACCTCATTCGGGCAAATCTAGACATTGACACGCCTTGGCCATAAAACCCATTGGACCATGGAAGAAATGGGTACCATTGCACCGAAAGAAATCCTGGGCTCTCTTTAAGCTGATTGCCGGACCAGGTACCCGCTGCTCCATTGTCTTATGGTGTGAGAGCCATTGTTTTATGTTAGCGGTCTTGATAAGCAGACTATGAACACCGGATGTAAGCGGTCTTGAAAAGTGAACTTCACCTATGAACACCGGAGTCTTCGAAATGCTTTGTTTCATCATAAATGGAGAATTCATTTAAAAGGTTTGCTGCCTGCTGGCGCAGTCGTAACCTTGCTGACGTCACGACTGAAAGGTACCTTGGACAAACTGGTCTGATGACGTCACTAGAACCTTGTTGACGTCACGACTGAAAGGTACCGTGGTCAAAATAGGCTCAAGTCGCGTCCAGATTTAAAAAAAAAAATGTTTTCGATAGCCGATGCTTTTACTGATGGATGGAGAGATTGATGGAAGGGAAGAATGATGTGAGGGAAGAATGCTGGAAAGGAAGAGTGATGGAAAGTAAGAATGAGTGGAGGGAAGAAGCGCGGAAGAAACAAGTCGGCATGAACTATATGTACAACAAACAAGTCGGCTATGAACGATATGTACAACAAACAAGTCGGCTTGTGACCCCTTTATAACATTTGACTGGTTGTGGTGACCCCTTTATAACATTTGACTGGTTGTGGTGACCCCTTTATATCATTTGACATGGTTGCGGTGACCCCTTTATATCATTTGACATGGTTGTGGTGACCCCTTTATAACATTTGACTGGTTGTGGTGACCCCTTTATAACATTTGACTGGTTGTGGTGACCCCTTTATAACATTTGACTGGTTGCGGTGACTCCTTTATAACATTTGACTGGTTGTGGTGACCCCTTTATAACATTTGACTGGTTGTGGTGACCCCTTTATAACATTTGACATGGTTGTGGTGACCCCTTTATAACATTTGACTGGTTGTGGTGACCCCTTTATAACATTTGACATGGTTGTGGTGACCCCTTTATAACATTTGAC